TAACCCTAAAGTCAAAGAAAAAATATTTTTCTTTGTTTATTTTGTATAGCTACGTTACACAACATTATAATAATAATTATAGGTGATTATCACCTGAGGTAAAAATTAGTTAATTTCTTAATTTATATATAATTTTAAAAATAATTTATTTAATTAATTTATATATAATTTTAAAAATATTTTAGTTAACTAATTTGTATATAATTTTAAAAAATATTTTTAATTAATTAATTAATTAATTAATTTAAATATAATTTTAAAAAGAATTAATAATTTAACTAAAAAATTTTATAAATCTAGCATTTTGAGTAACACTTAGATTTTAAGAGCAAGATAAACTAAATTAAAAACAAAAATAAAATAAAAAATTAGAAACTAGTTTTTAGAACAATACCTGAGTCTTAAGAGCTAAGATAAAAAAAAAATTTGTAAATTAGCTTCCGGAACTACACCCAAATCTTAAAAACTAGATAAGAATAAAAATCAAAAACTAAGATAAAGAAAAAAAATTAGAAACTAGCTTCTAGAGTAATGCCTAGGTCTTAAAAGCTAGATAAAATTAAAAATCAAGAACTAAGATAAAGAAAAAAATTAAGAACTAGCTTCCGGAGCAACGCCCGGGTCTATGAGCTAGTATTTTTATATAAAAATAAAAAATATATACTATTTTTTATAATCATGAATAATATATTAATTAAACAAAAACGTTGATATATAATAACTTATAGCTTTATTGAGGCTTAGTGAGGAAATTGTGATTAAGTATTGAAAATAAACTATTTTGTCGGTAGCAATTTTCTAGTTCCTTGAAAAAATCCTGACCATGAGGATTACTATGCCACATATTTTCTGTATCCTCCATCATTTTAATCAACATATAAATGTCTGTGGCAGGTTTACAGGAATCAGCAGTAACTGGATCAAAAATACGAAGCATGTTGCTGTGAATAGCCTTTCCATGGCGTTGTGCAAATTCACCTGCATCTATCACATAGAACCAATCATTTTGTTCTACCACATTTGGCCAACGTAAGTCTACTATACACCAACCTCTTTGATGAATATTATAAACACAATGAACAATGCAATACATTGCAATATGTAATTTTCCAATTGAATCTGGCTTCCTATTTACTCCTACTGGAGTTAAATATAATGTTAACGTTTCAGATTCATCATCTTTGACTTTAATGACATATTTCACTGCTTTTTCTAAGTATTGTGTTCCTTTTGTAGTGTCATAGAATAATTTGACCCTAAATATATAGAAAATTACCATAGCATTAGTATTAAAAACTAACAACATAATTTGGGTGCCGCCAAGTGAAAACCTGACATTCTAAAAATAGATTTCTATGGACAACGGAATGCGGGATTTTAATTGATC